TCTCTCTCTCTCTCTCTCTCTCTCTCTCTCACACACACACACACACACACACACACACACACAAGACAATTGTTTTTCACTTTTTTAGTTATTTGTTTTTCAACTTTTTCTCGTACATTTCGCTGTTCGTGGTGGTGTCATGCCGAGAACAGTGGCGCCCGGCCTTCAAGCATCGATCCGGCCTTGGCTTGGCCAACCCCCTAAGGTACTGCTGCGTTAACGGGGAAGGCCGGCCGCCAATGTATGGGCCAAGTACTGGTGCTTTAAGGAGATGTGTACAATGTTAGAGACAAGAAATATACAGGAAAAGAAATTGAAGAACCTGCCATGTCGCTGATCTGGGGAAAGAAAAAGAAGGAAAAACAAAAGGGTACTCTTTTGTCAATGAGTGTTTGAGAGCAGATGAGAGAGAATATGCCAAGGTGGAGTACATCCTTTAAAATTGGAAAGATTTTTATTTTATTTTTTTTTCCCCCAAAACCATTGTCTCCTTATATTACTCAGTTTCCAAAGCCACAGTCTCTCAATCCAGCGGCCTAGCTCAGTTGGTAAAGCACGCAAGTGGCATTCAGGAGGTCTTGGGTTCAATCCCCATTGGCCTCATGTACCTTCCTGAGCAAGCTTGGCGCCCGCCACCTAGAGATAGCCCGTTGGTCCCCCCAATTGGCATTAAAAAGCAGTCTCTGATGATGTTCATAGGGGGAGGGGTACCCAGGGAGGCACAGCGACTGGCCACTCAGATGATGCTCGGTCCCCAGTGGGCGATCCCTGAAGGCGATCAGGCCACCCTGGGCTCAAAAAGCCACCTTTGTCAGATTAGACACAAGATTGAATTTACCTGGGATGGTTAGTCCTATGATAATACCTCAAGGCCATCGCCCTTCTAAAAGTTCAAAAAATAAAAAATAAAAAATAAAAAAATTTACTCTGTTTAATCCGGTCCTGGGCACCCCACAGTTCAACCCCCTGGGCACCCCACAGTCCTATGATAATACCTCAAGGCCATCAGCCCCCTTCTCTTAAACCAGCAGTACCTACGGCCTCGAATGCCCCAACCGGTAAGCTTCAGAGGGAAGACAGTTGCGGTCTCACATGGACTTCTGACCTGAAGGCTCCTCTCTGAGCAGAATAAAAAAGTAGCCCTCATGGGCAGTAGGGCCACACAACCAAACACAGGCTGTGCAAGGATGACGGGCATAAATTGAGGGGGGGGGGAATACGAATTTGTCATGGAAAGGGGGCAACTTGATACAGTGGCTGCAGCTTCCCGGGAAACTACTCCGGTGAAGGATATTTCCCGCCAGCTGTAAAGTCTGACAGGTGCTGTTGATCCCCGCCAAATACCTCTGGTCAGAAATATTTGCCGCCAGTTATGACGAGTCACAGTGGCTAATGATTCATCAGCCAAAGACCTTGCCCACAAACATTTCCCGCCAGGTGTTCCGTCTCACATTAGCTGCTGAACTTTTCCGCCAAAGACCTCCGCGGACGAATATTTCCCGCCAGTTGTAACGTCCCACTGTGCCCAAGAATTCCCGCCACAGAACTTAGTGCACAAATATTTCCTCCCTCCTCACATCAGCTGAACTTTCCCGCCAAAGACCTCCGCGGACGGGTGTTTCCCGCCAGTTGTTAGTGCCACTGTGGCCAAGAATTCCCGCGCTGAACTTTCCCGCCAAAGACCTCCTTGGACGAGTATTTCCCCGCCACTTGTTTATCCCACTGTGGCCAAATATTTCCTCCCTCCTCGCATCAGCTGAAATTTCCCGCCAAAGACCTCCGCGGACGAGTGTTTCCCGCCAGTTGTTAATGCCACTGTGGCCAAGAATTCCCGCGCTGAACTTTCTCGCCAAAGACCTCCTCGGACGAGTATTTCCCCGCCATTTGTTTATCCCACTGTGGCCAAGAATTCCCGCCAAAGAACTAAGGCCACAAACAAATATTTGTTTCCCCCCAGTTGTCAGGCCTGAGGCCATACTCACACGAGGATTTTCCAGCATGTATCTGACTGCATTTACGACCGTATGTGGCCACAATTCCATTCAGACATAAGATGGCATAGTCCTTGTGTGACTAAGCCCTGACATTAGATGAGCATTCCCGCCAAACATCTCCACGGACGATAACAACGTCGGTCATCACCAGGGGCCAAGTCCCACTAGCAGCGTTGAGCTACCTCAACGCCTGAATCAGGACGTGTTCGTGGACACGTGCAGTTCAGGAAACTCAACACCATTTCTGCACATCTCCGCAAAAGCGTCCAGATTCAGGCGTCGAGGTAGCTCAACGCTGCTGGTGGGACTTGCCCCCCGAACATTCCCGCCAAAGATCTCCACGGACGAGTGTTTCCCGCCAGTTGTGACGTCCCACAGTGGCCAAGGATTCCCGCCAACGAACGAACCCCACAATTTTTTTTTTTCTTCCAGTTGTTCGGTCTCACATTAGCTGAACCCGTCCGCCACAGCTCTCCCTGGCCAAAATATTTCCCGCCAGTTGTCTTGTCCCTCAGTGGCCGAGGGCTCCCGCCAAATAACTCCGGCCACAATTATTTGTCTCCCCCCCCCAGTTGTTACGTGTCACAGTGGCTGAAGCTTCCCGCTAAAACCCTCCAGCCGCAAGAGCTTTTCCCGCCAAAGATCGCCCGACTCTCCACTGCCAGATGAGCTCATTCTCCGACCAGGGGCCCGGTCCCACTTGCAAAGAGGATCCGATTAAGCTCTGAGAAGAGGTGCAGAAAAGCAGTTCAATCTCGATTTTCTGCATCTTTCTGGCGGAGACGTCTAGATTCAGGCATTCGATCCGATTCTATTTGGTAGTTGGACCTCGCCCGACAGCAGGTCCTCGCCATTCACTAAGGTCCTCGCCATTCACTATGTATACGGAAAGGGGATCAATCCACTCTGTCAAATCCGATCGCAAATTTCACCCTTCCGGCATTATATCGGTGTGAAGGGCACCCTCATTATATCGGTGTGAAGGGCATTACTTCTCCACATGCACAGTTCTCAGTAGAAACCCGCCCGCAAATCCCCCCACGCGTTCCGCCAAGCTTGCGCTCCTGGCACTCCTCAGTGGGCCTCTCCCAAGATCGCTTTACGGCACTACCTACCCTCCCAACCATCTGAGAATGAAGGGCCATTGGCCATTGGCCATTGGCCTTGCCCTCTGCCTCATACTAATCGCCAATGATATGCAGTCTTAAGTCCCGCGCCCACTCTCCTACCTGTAGTCTGTCGCGTCCCCTCTGCCTTATATTAATCTCCAATGATCTACCGGGCCAAGGTCCCACGTGCGCGGATTAAGAGATTCTGGCCGTTGACCTTTGCTATCGACGGTCAATATCGTTTAATTCGTGTAAGTGGGACCTACGGTAGCCCCCGGCTAAGTCCCCCACGCTCAGTTACGTGTGGGCAGCACTTGGGAAATTTGAATTTCGATGACACTGAGAAACCGCTCCAATTGATCCCGCCAAACAAGCATGAGTAGAATGCGGGCACGAAATCGTTAGCCTATAACCAGGGCACTCAGTACCCTGGAAATGAAGGCCCAAGAGCACTGCCCGTTATCAATAGGCTAGGCCATTGTAGGCACTAATAGGACTATTCCAAAAAGTGGCTACAGAAGAAGTATTTCGATTCACAGCCCCTATTTCAAAACTGAGAGGGAATTAATTCCGATAGCACGGCAGATTCGAACCTAGAAACAGGACACCAGAGCTTCCCACTTTTTTTTCTTTTTTTTTTTTTCTTTTTTTTTTTTTTTTTTTTTTTTTTTACATTCCCCCTATTTCCAAATAACCAGTACCCGTTGGTCACCCCAATTGCTGATGTTCAAAGGGGGAGAGGTAATCGGGAAGGCACAGCGACTGGCCACTCAGATGATGCTCGGTCCCTCTGCTACCGGCTGTTCCCTGGCCGGTGTCCCCCATTGGGGGTTCCCTGAAGGCAATCAAGGCCACCCTGGGCTGAAAAGGCCACCCGATGTCAGATTAGACACAATATTGAATTTACCTGGGCTGGTTAGTCCGATGATAATACCTCAAGGCCATCGCCCTTTTTAAAAAAAAACAAAAAAAACAGTAGTAACATTATACCTATTATTCAAAATAACACACGACTTTCCTCGTACTTTCCCATGTAACAAAGTTTTTTTCCGCCAGGTTTTGATAATAAAACCAAATAAAATTGCAAGTAAATTTCTACGAATCGCTTACCAGTAGCACGTTCCACAAGCCGCGGAGCTACTCACCCGCCGTTGATACAATACCCAAAAAAAACGGCACCTCTATTCTACGGCGCCACAAGCCGCTGCGGTACTGACCCGTTGGTAGTATACCCCAAAAGTATACCCCCAAAAAACGGTAGTAGCTCTATTCTCAGCGGCGGAGGGGGGCTATTACCCTGTCCGTTAGGCTTGAGTTAACAAACTACACAGTGTGCGGCAGAGCATACTCATGCTAACGCTGCCACAATTTATTTCATGCTAACGCTGCCACAATTTATTTCACGCTAACGCTGCCACAATTTATTTCATGCTAACGCTGCCACAATTTATTATTACCAACGGAGTGTCGTCTACTCCCGAAGCTCAGGCTCTCAGGAGAAAGAAGTACGTAAAATTTAATCAGGGGATAAGATATATCACAGCAGATTAATTACAGCAGTAAACTTCGAAATTGTCGCAAAAAACTAAGTTACCTACGGATTGCCGCAGCGTACAGAAAACAACAACAACAGCCGATAAACTACAACAGCAAACTTTGAAAAGTACTGCATTCTAGTATAAAAAAAAAAAAAAAAAAAAAAAAGTACTGCAGTAAACTATGATCTACAGGCATTTGCCGCTCCGTCATTTTCTCGCCTCGCCGTGCCAGCATACCAGGGCACTCGAGCAACCTTGTCCAAGGAGGTTCCTTTAGCTTCCTGGTGCCCTTAGCAAACCGAGCTAGGGCATTGAAGAAGGGCCAGATCCCATTGGCAAAGAGGAGTGGAATAAGTGTCTGAATCAGGACGTGTTCCAGAAAGAGATGCAGAAAAGCAGATCAATTACAATTTTTCGCACCTCTCCACAAACACGTCCAGATTCAGACACTTATTCCAATCGTTTATGCAAGTGGGATCTCGCCCGAAGAGATTCCCTCCAAGGGCGCATGGCCACAAATATTTCCCGCCAAAAATGGGCCAACACTTTATTCCAATCGTTTTTGCCCGCGGGATCTGGCCCGAAGAGATTCCCTCGAAGAGAGCATGGCCACAAATATTTCCCGCAAAAAAAAAATGGGCCAACACTTAAGGTCCCGTTTACACGAATTAAGCGATATTGACCGTAGATAGCAAATACCAACGGCCAGAATCTCTTAATCCGTGCACGTGGGACCTTGCCCCGGGATCTCGCCCGAAGAGATTCCGTCCAAGGGCGCATGGCCACAAATATTTCCCGCCAAAAATGGGCCAACACTCCAGTGCCGCATGGGCACATTGCTCTACCACAGACATTCCCGCAGTTCTGTTCGCGCGCTCCCTCTCCCCGACTGCGAATAGCGATCAATACTCACCTTGGAATCTGTTCCAGTTTTAGATCGAAATGCAGGATTAATCTGCGGCCGCAGAGAGTCATAGGGCATCGATCGAAATGCAGAATTAATCTGCGGCCGCAGAGAGTCATAGGGCATCGCCACACCACTCTCGAAATGTGCAAAATGAGAACGAATTTCCCGCTAGAACATGGCCAGATGCACCCGCCACATTTTTTCTTTTTCACATCTCGACAGTGGTGTGCCGAGGCCCTTCGTCATATTTATCGCGCTGAGGTGCCGACAGCGGGGAAGTCACTCGCACACAGGGCCTTGTTCTACCACTCTCGAAATGTGCACACAATGACAATGAATCTTCCCCTAAAACATGGAGAGATGCACCGCCCTATGTTTTGCCTTTTGTGCATGTGGAGAGTAGAGGAGCGAGGCCCATAGTTCCGTCGGGGCCTCCTCTTTGCCTTCGTCGTCTCCGACACATTTTTCATAACCAGCAACGTCCTCATCATCACTGTTCTCTGAGTCAGACAAACGCCACTGCTCCTCTTCCTGCTCCTGCTGCTCCTTCTGCGGCTTCCTCTCCTCCTCCCCCTCCTCCCCCTCCTCCTCCTCCTCCTCCTCCTCCTGCTGATGCTTCTGCTGCTCCTCGTCCGATCTCCACCCCGCAGCCGGGCGAAGCATCCCGTAGTCTAGACACCAATAATCCTCCCCTGATTCCGCCTCAAGGCGAAACTTAACACAAGTTCTGATCAAACCCCCGTCCTCCAGAACTGCCAGTTCACTTCCCATCAGCGTCTGTACGGAAGCCACGTCGACAACGACACCCGTTTCCATCTCTACCCACCGTTGATTGCCTTTTGCTGCGACAATCGGACGAACGTTCCATCTCGTTGCGATTGGTACTTGGTCAAAGATTGACCCAGCCATAACCTGCAACGAAACCGACGGGCTTCCCGTGATTAGGTATTGCGATCCTGTGTTCAGCAGTCGCCAGCACGACTCGTAGCTTCCAGGCGGCAGGAGGCACTCGAATTCCCCACTAGCGACAAATCCGTGCCCGCGCCGCTCAGCGAACCTATCATAGAACGGCCTGACCCTCTCGCCGAAGACGCGCATCCTAACGGGCTCACAATGTGGGGCACCAACGAGCACATCTGAGCCGCAAGACCATTTGGGAACCGTACGATCTGGCGAAAAGAAGACAGTCATCGCGTTCGTCTTTCTGTCTAGCTTGTAGAGAACGGAAGGACAGCGATAATCTCGGATTCCCTCACAGAGCTGCCGAAACCTGTGTCTCGCACTCGAACTCGATGCCACCAAGGAAGTGTCGGACACTCTCGTCGCACACTGTGTGGTGTCGGACACTCTCGTCGCACAGTGTGGTGTCCCCTTCCTCGCGCAAGTGTCGGACACTCTCGTCGTCGCACAGTGCGGTGTCGCCTCCACGAGCGCACTTGTCACACCCTTCGCTTCAACCCCTCTAGATCGATGCAAGTCGAGCCGCGATTCACTCTCACAGAACAGCCGCTCCCAGCCACGTGGCAGCAACCGCTGCCACGTCCGCTCGTCGCGCACTGCTTGCGCTAACGCGAAACAAACTCCCGCAGCGGCGCACACGTCCGCAGCCCCAGGCAGCCTCGCGAAAATCTCGCTCATCATGTCCATTGGCAGATCGGTGATCTGAGTTCGAGTCGCATCGACAGGATGCCGCGTGGAAGAAAGACCATCATCAAGCTCAGCAGCACTCGACCCCGACCCTTCCGTTCGTTCTGTCCGTCTGGCAGTGCCACCTTCTTCCGTGATCAATGCCACTCCGAGGCGCCCAACCTTCCTTCCATCGAAACACCATAAACCATCACGACACCAGCCTGGAGATCCCGAAATCCCCTCTCCGACGGCTGAAATCGGGCCAACTACTAGGTGTGCGAGGAGCCCCTCAAGTTCCCCGCTGCCGCGTGGTATGCTTCCTTCTTCCATCGTTACTGACGTGGCACGCTACCCAGTCCGCACACTGTTGATACACATGACATCACGGCCGTCTCCACGGGAGCACTACCTCACTTTTATACGGCTTCCGTGCAGCCGCAACTTCCGCCGCTCATCCGTTAAATTTTTATTTATTTATTTATTTATTTATTTGCTTTTGCAACGATACAGAGAAGATTAGTTTTTTTTTGAGGGGGGGGACAGAGAAGGGTTTTTTTTTTTTTTTTTTTTTTTTTTTTTTTTTAGGACAGAGAAGATTAGGATGGCCCGCATAAGGAAAAAAGGAAAAAGGGGGGGCCGGGGGAAGATGAGAGAAGAATATAGCTCACTTATAATAAAAACAAAGGGAAAATCCAAAATTTTCAAAATGCCCCTGAAATTTCCGTAATTTTGCGGGGGTTTACCCCTCTGACGGCCGACTTACCCTGATTTGCCCCTCTGACAACGATTCAAGCCCTCTGACGACCGCCTTACCCTGATTTGCCCCTCTGACAACGATTCAAGTTTCGACAGGGAAAAAACAACTGGCGTCATTTGGACCTGAGATACGTTCAATATGCCCCTACCAATACCCGCCGTGCTTCCCCAAAGAGAAAAAAAAGAAAAAAAGAAAAAAAAAAAAGTGCCAAGTTCCCACTAGCAAAGACAGTATGGGCCTCGCTGCACTACTCTTGAAAGGTACAAAACGAGAGCGAATCTTCCGCTAGAACATGGAAAGATACAGCGACATGATTTTTGTATTTTGTGCCTTTCAAGAGTAGTGCAGCGAGGCCCTATGTCTTGTCCTTCGGGACATCCGTAAAAATTGGAACCGCCGCGGTCCTGGCTGCTTCCAAGGATGACACGCGTAAGTCGAAAAACTGCCCAAATTTTAAAAGACAGTATGGGCCTCGCTGCACTACTCTTGAAATGCACAAAAGACAAAAATCATGGCCGTGTATCTTTCCATATTCTAGCGGAAGATTCACTCTCGTTTTGCAGATTTCGAGAGTAGTGCAGCGAGGCCCTATGTCTTTTCCTACTTGCCCTCAAAGCCAAGCTCCCACTCGCTTCTTCCCCCGAATACAAGGTACGCGGTCATTATAGCTGTATCTAGACTGAAAGATGCCTCAAATACAGCTATAATGACCTTACGTTGTAGCAACGAGCAACTACCGATAACGAGCAACTACCGTAGCAACTACCGATAGCAAAGAGGATTGAACTGATACCGCGCAGGGAGTGGGGGCGCAGCCAGGACCGCGGCGGGTCGGCGGATCGGCAATCACACAGATAAATGTCCAAATGCATCTGGAGAGATGTCGCCGATTCGCCGCCGTCGCAGATGCATTTGGACATTTGTCTGCGTGACTGCCGATCCGCCGCCGTCCTGGCTGCACCCCACGCCCTGAGTGTATCAGTGTATAGATATAGGACGTCGGCACACCACTCTCGAAATGTGAAAAAGACAAAAGAAAATTCCACCTGCGCTTAAAAAAAAAAAGAGACAAAAATGTGGCGGGTGCATCTGGCGTTATTTTCTCATTTAAGAGCACTTAAACAATGCATCCACACTTCCACCAAAAATCATCCAGTGGGGGGGGGGGCGCCGGTTCACGGCAAGACAGCGCTCGGTTCCGCCGCCGCCGGTTGCTTACCGGCCTAGCCGCCATCACTCGGCCACCTTGCATGAGTGAAGGTTCGCGCGGGAGCTTAGGCTTCAGCTATGTCTGACCCAGCTTCCCGTGTAGGCTAGCCTACCGTGCCAGAAGCCCATAGCGGACTGTTATCTAGACGTTCTTTCATACTCGTACGAAGATTTGTTTTCTCTCCTATCCCACGGGACCTGGAGCACGTAGCAAGTTGCAGGCGTTCGACACCATTATGGATATTGACGGAATGTTGGTGGGTAATGACTCAGCAAATCCGACGTCTCAACCACATGGGGGGGACGTAGGGATGATAGGAGCTGATGGGGTAGCAGTCTCCCCCACTCATCGGGTGGAGGAGGAGGACACTACTAATGCTTAAAACCGGTCCCCACCCCCAGCAGAGACAAACTACTGGGCGGAGGAGGAACGGGTTAGAGAAATGTTGTCCAAATGCTTTGATATTGGAATCCTTCCTGCTGGTTGGGACATCCGAGAATTGAAGGAGGAGGGGAACAAGGCCCACTTTACCTTGAACCCCTCACTGGATGAGATCAAGGTGAATTGGTTGTAGGAGAGAACAGTGACGGTCATCTTTCAGGAAGGGTCGAAGAACCTACCCAAGAAGATTAAGGAAGAGGTCATTCGGGCGTTCGAAGACATATGGATGGGAGAAGGAAGGTTTGACGTGGCAATCACTCGAGGACGTGTCTGCATCGAATCCAGCAATGTCCTTTCTTCTATAGCGAAGGACACAAGAGTCACAGAATGGATGATCCAAGAAGGGGAAACCAGAGTGGCGCTAAGGGGAAGATGGTACAGTATCGCGTTTAAGCCCTGGCTTACCAAGAAGGAACTGCAAGATGCAAGGAAGGAAGCGTCACAAAATTATTTTTGGATCAAGGTACTAGACGTTCCCATCGATGCGTTTTGCTATCTCGAGTCTGCAGCGGAGCACTTGATTGGTCAGGTTCTCAAGGTTTATCCCTCGGAGCGGGACGCGAGGACACCTCAGCTTATCAACGTGAGAATGGACATGGCCTTGGAGTCGCTCCCGAGGTTGAAGGAGTCTATCTCGTTTACAACCTTTCAAGGTCAACTGATTGAGTTGAAGGTAGCCAACGCGCAGACCCCCTGGTGCACCCGGTGTCGTCGTTATTTCCATGTGTCTGATAATTGTACGAGACAAGGGCGAAGAAGAGCTCCAAGCCCTGCCCCAAGTAGTTCTTCATCATCACGGAGCAGCTATCACTCAGGAAGCCGTGGTGGTCGCAGGAGTGGCGGAAGGCCCCCTTCGCCGGCGGGATCGGCAGGAAGACGTTCTGCATCACCTCCCAGGTCACATAGTAGGGAGGAAGGAAGACCTGAGCAACCTACATATTCAGGCCCCCTGAGACCTTTGGGAGGAAGTTCGCATTCAGCACAGCCAGGAGCGACAGGGATGTCGGTTAGAGATAACCCATCCTTCTCACCGTTCGTCAGAGGAGAGAGGAAGGAAGCAGAGGGTAGCTCCCCGCGGGCGGAAGGAGCAACGGGCGTACGGTCGATGGTACTGGGCGAAAACGAGGATAGGAACTGTGTTTTCACGCCATGGAAGGGTTTGGGTGGAGGTGAAGTGGCAACTTCGTCGAGAAACCCTCAAGGCCCTTTGGGAAGGGTGAATGCATCGGCAAGTTCAAGTCAAGGTCCAAGGTTGGAGACGACCCCCACGAAGCTACGCAGAAGATTAAGCGAAGACATGGGGGCTGTTAGGATTGCGGAGGAGATCGAAGCTGAACCCTCAACGTCATCAACCCCAACGCAGCCGAAACCCTCGGCCCATGGCTCCCTCAAAAGGAATCGTCGTCAGACGACTAACTCCAAGAGTGGGGATCGAGATTGGGAAAAGCATTTGCTCCCTTTGCTGTTCGTTGCAACGGCTGAAGGTACATTTGTGTTAGCTTGGGCAGTAGAACACGGGGTAACGTGTCTCCCATCCCAGCCCATTTCTGTACCACCTATGCCGCTAGATATCTTGAATAACAATCGCCGAATCTATGGTCCCGAAGTTGCGGTGAGGAATATCCCAGATATTCCCACCCCGCGGTTTTTTGTGGAACAAGCACAAATAAAGTTTTTTATTCACCCCGTTGCTTGATGCTAGAATCTCTCAGGAGTCATTGTTTTCCCTAGTGGGACGTGGCCTTCATTTGATCCCCAAGGAATGGTTTGAGATCCCCTATCATCCGGAACTGACGAAAATCAGAGTATAAGGGGAGGCGGATGCTGGCGGTCTAGGTCAACTCAATCAGAAAATCCCCAAGGCACGAGCCTTGAACACTGCCTCATTCTATGCCTGTATCACCCAGAGGTGGGAAACGGGTCTGGGGCTAAATATTTCTCACTCTAGAGGGGCCGGGATACCTTCTCTTCGCATCCAATCAAGGCAGACGTCGGAGCAGAATGCTGCAGTTTAAGGTAGCAACCTGGAATGTTAGGGGTTTAGGGGATACGGGAGGAAGAGGAAAGAGAGCTAGAATTAAGTCCTGGCTACATTCTAACCGGATCACTGCGCTCTGTATGCAAGAAACTAAACTCTGCCAAGATAAGATAGAGGCGTTAGGGGCATGGTGGGATGGCCCGCAGGTGTGGGCTCCTTCAGTCGGTTCTCGTGGCGGGGTAGCGATTCTGTTGCATCGGAACGTTGATGCAGAAATCATGGACCATGACTTTGACCAGCTCGGTCGTTGGGCATGGATAAAACTACGGTCCGCAGACAAGGAATGGGCCGTAGTATCTATTTATGCACCTACTGAACGTTCCGAACGAAAGGAATTTTTCGGGCATTTGTGGGACATCCTCCCTGATGTTGACAAAATTATGATAGCGGGAGATTGGAATGTGGTCGTGGATGACGTTAACCCTTCGTTCCGAATCGGCAGAACAGGTAGAGACCTGGATGCACTGTTGGACCTGATAACTGAGTTGGATTTATATGACCCCTTTAGACTGTCTCATCCTACAGATCCAGGCTATACCTGATTTTCCTCGCAGTTGATTTCGGGCAGGAAAGTTGCCCCTCGGAGGCTAGACTTCTTCCTTACGAGTAAGAGCATTTGTGATGCCACTGTGAACGTATCCACACAACCCCACCCTCCCTCTGATCACAGTCCGGTTGTTCTAGCCTTTTCGTGGGGCTTAGGCCCGGAGCGAGGAAATGGCATATTCAGGCTGAATGTAGACACGATCAGAGACGTTGAGGTCCATGATTGGACAGTCTCGCAGTTGCAGAAATGGAAATAAAAAAAGCATCTGTTTCCATCCACAGAAGCCTGGTGGGACGCTTGCATTTACTTCATTTCGGCTATGTTGAGCGTGTTTTCGAAGATATTGGCACTGCATGATAATAAGACAGAAGCTCGCATAAAGAAGAGTGTGATGGAAGCGGAAGAAAGGTTTTCAACTTACCCCTGCAATCGGTAGACAGTCATCTGTGGGGTATGGTCAAAGTCGAACTTATGGCGGAGTGGGATGGCATACAAGAGCGGAAATCTGCTCAATGGAGGGAGATCTTGGCTACTAAAGCATTGTTACGGGTGACCGAATAACGAAGCAAAATTTTCAACGCCTCTTACCCTTTTTTTCCCAGCGGGAAATGAAGTCCCTGCACCATCCGTTCGATGAGGATGCACCTGTAGCAGAAACTTCGCAGGAGATTCGCAGCTATGCAGAGCTATACTTCTCGGACATCTTGACTTCGAGACGGAACGCGGAGGAACTCACAGGTGGTCAGCACTTGCAGTCTGATCTGTGGGATTTGGTGGGGTTAAATTACCTCCTTTGGCCAGACTGGACCTCGACCGACCTTTGACGGAGCCTGAAGTCAAGTCAGCTATGGAGGATATGCAGAAAGGAAAAGCACCGGGGTCAGATGGGATACCAGTGGAGTTTAATACCATGTTCTGGTCTGAGTTAGCCCCTACTCTGATGGAGATGTATAACAACGTCCTAACTGGAGGTAACCTCTCATCGAGTATGCCTTACGGAGTCATTACTCTTTTATTTAAGAAAGGGGCAAGGGATGAAATTAGGAATTGGCGGCCGATTTCTAGGTTGAATGTATCTTATAAGATCCTTGCCAAAACCCTTGCCAGGAGACTCTCCAAATATTTACCCCTGCTGGTGCACTCTGATCAAGCCGCGTTTGTACAGGGTCGGTCTATATTTGAGAATATTGTCACTGTGATCCAGTCGTTGGAGATAGTGGAAAGAGAAGATAGACCGTTAGCCATTTTGTTGTTGGACTTAGAGAAATCCTATGATAGAGTAAACTGGAGCTTTGTTCTCACAACATTGAAGAAGATGGGCTTGGGAGACAATTTTTGCAGATGGGTAGTGGTGCTTTATACTTTCTCTACAGCCTCAGTGCTCGCCAATGGCTTCCTCTCAGAACCCTTCTCTTTGCCGCGCTCGCTCCGGCAAGGCTGCCCCCTCGCGCCCCTTCTCTTTGTGATACAACTGGAAGTGCTAATGTGCAACATCAGAGGCCGCCCATAGATCGTCGGCCTAGCATTAAAACACTTAATGTGCAAAGCGAAGGCCTTGGCCGACGACCTGTTCGCTGTGTGTGAAAACACAGAGACCTCACTACAAGGATTGAAATCCCTCCTATAGGAATACTCCTTGTTCTCGGAAGCTGCAGTTAATTGGAGAAAATCTGCTTATTTTTTGCCCCGAGATTACGCTTTGGAGGTAGATTGGGGAATGAGGAGGGTAAGCTCAGGGGAAGGGGAGAGATTCTTGGGAGTTCTGGTTTCCATGGAATCTTGTCAAGCGGCTCAGGAGGATCTTCTGCAAGATCGTTTAATCTCACGAATCAAGTCATGGAACGACACCCCTCATCTCTCAGTATTTGGCAGGAAAATGGTGGTAAGATCGTCTCTCCTCCCTCTGCTTTATTACGTTGGCAAGGTTAGAATGTTGAGTCCATCATTTATTTCATTGGTAAGAAGAGTCTCATCCCACTTCATTTGAAAACCAAGAGGTGGGGAAGAACAGGTTTTGTCTCAAAGGTCGCCTGGGACCTGATATCCCAGTCCAGGGAGGAGGGAGGATTAGGATTAGATGGCCCTCATAGGATAAACTGCTTGCAATTAGCTTATTCGGTGGTCATGGCGGCTGAAAGTGATGAGTCTGAACACTGGATTCAAATGGGGGAACGAATTCTGGCCACAGAATGGGACCTCTCACGAGAAGAGGACGTTTGGCTCTGTCTTCAGTTGGAATCTTATCTCAACAGACGCATTGAATCCGCTTCTGGGCAGACATTATCAAGGCCTGGAAGAAGTTGAAACCTACAGAATGGGCGCAACCGCAGACTAAGCTAGACGTACTGTGCCAACCACTTTTCGACAATCCTCATATCAAGGATGTTCAAGGTCAACCTTTCAGGGCCAATCGAGAATCTGGATCTTTTGGTGAAAGATGGATCGCTAGGGGCGTCCTCCGCATCAGTGACATATGGGACAACATTCTAGGCTCTTGGAAAACTGTGGAGGAACTGAAGGTAGCCCTGGGCCAACTGCATGATATTGAAGTCAAGCTCGACGTATTGATTGAGGCCATACCATTGGCCTGGAAGTACAAACTGGCTCCGGAAGCTGTAGACCCTCCGAGTACGTGTTACGTTGTCAGATCTCAGATGGACCCACCGGTCTACTGGGAGCTGACAGGATACACCAAAGGCGGGGATAGATCTTTCCGGAAATGGATGAAGGAGCCGGGCACAACAGAATTGTACTGTATCGAACCTTCAGACAGCGATTCAGAAATAGCATCCTAGGTGGAAACTGTAGAGGGTAGAGCCTCCGCATCAACGCGTGCATACAGACCCTCACCAGGAGATCAGCTTCTACAGATCAAAGTAACTGGCAGGCGGGGGAAGGATGATACCTATAGAGTGTTCTCCAAAAGGGATATCCCCTTGACTGAACGCAAACTGGACACAACGGCTTGGGGATGGAGGGGTCTCGGCCAGGATGGTTCTATGCTCCCAATGAGCGAAATGAGACAAACTAAGGAACTACTTCTTACCAGTCGTCGTCCCATTACGGTTGCAGCCGAAAAATGGAAGGTGCAGATTAGTGGCTCAGGACCAAAAGTATTATCTCAGATTGGCAGATTATGGACGCAACTGAAGATTCTCCCCTCCCAAAGACATGCGGCAATCCTATGGCTCCTTTCGTTACTGGTTACCCCTTCTGCAGTGTGGCTTGCTGCCAAAGGGATGGACATGGAATTGGGGTGCAGACGCCGTTTGAGTCAACCAGCCATCTATGGTGGGACTGCCCGGCCTCTAGAAGAATCTGGGCTTGGTGGGCTCAGCACTGGAAAGACTTATCGGCCTGGGAATGGGAGTGGGATAAGGAATGGGTCCTTTAAGGACTACTCCTAGCTCATCTTCAAGCAACTGAGGGATGTGGGTATGTAGTCCAGTCTTGCAGAGCCATCCTCATTGCGGTCATCTGGGAAATCAGAAATAAGTCCTGTTTTCAGGGTCAGGGAACTTCGGACCCAGAAACGAAAATGATGATCCGTACAAATTTGAGGCGCTACAGTGAAGCAGATTGGAGTAGGAAATCTCCGGAGAATTATCTGGGAATAAAAGGCCGCAACTGGTTTTTGAAGACATGGGCCTATTGCACCTCTTCAAATTGGCTGGTGAAGATTGGCTTGAATGGGAAACTGGAATTCTGCTCCTGGTTGAAGTAAGCTCTGTTATTTGGACTAGTATAGGCATGATGCTTTAGTTGTTAGCTACCCACTCAAGTTGGATGGGAACACTGGGAGTGTTTCTTTTTTCATGTAGGCATTAACTATAAATACTCAACACGAATAATAATACTTCAGTCGGCTGAAATAAATTCTTTATATCATGCTTAGAATGGGTTACCTTTGTAGATACAGTGGGTATATATGTGGTTTTGTAGCTGGACACTGGGTTAGGAATATCGTGTTTTGGTTGCTGGAAATCAAAGTAGATGGATTCCTTCGGAGGTGGTACCAGGGCACTCGGTAAATGTAATCACTGTAGACTGGCAGATAAGAGGTATACAGATTTCTCCCCTGTTTTTGGGGTTGTGGTAGGAGTGCCGCTTGGGAGCAGTAGCTCAGCAGTCCGCTTTAGGGCTGCATTGGTAGATACAGTTTGGAAGAGCAATGGGCTCGACACATTTAGGCTCAGTTAGCCCAAGCAGTCCCTGGTGCTAGGTAAGCAGAGCTCAGTCTACGATAAACTGAAAGATGGATTCATTCCGGTCTCTTGGATTCATTCCGGGTTGTTTGTTGAGGATTCCCGGCCTCAAGGTTATTACTTTGAATAAACGATCCCCAACCTTTTCCCGAAAAAAAAAAAAAAAAAAAAAAAAAAAAAAAAAAA